ACGCTCGATTGGCCGTGGCCATCTCCTGTCCTGTGCAAACTGACTGACCGACTGACTGACCTGTTTGTTTAAGCGGTTAGTTCCAAAACAGCGGTTTTCTCGAATCCCGAGGTTCATGGGTATGCGGAGATTATTCGGTCATGTCCGCAGGTGAGACGCACGCGGAATTATCGGATCGCGACACAGAAAAACTCCGGTGAGCCCTTTGTAAAATGTTGAATCTCGAGTGGGACAGTTTTATCTATCTAGATGTGATTATTTGTGTTAGACACTATCAGAAGACAGTTAACAAAATACAATGTTCATTGTTTTGTTTTATGGTTCACTTAGCCGCTGTGACATCACATCAGTCATTTTTAGACAAATTTCAGTAAACACCGCTCATGGTTTCGTGCTCGAGCATTTCAGCTATCTTGGACGACAAACGGCTAGAGCTACTCATAAGACTGACATGATAATCATATTTTCGGCCAGTTTTTTATTTGAGTTCTTCCGTGAAGGAAATGAATATAATCACTGCTTATACATGTGTTTGACTCATCAGTGGTCGCACTTAATTTGCGATATTCGCCGCAACTGTGACCGCTAATGGTGTAGAGTACTCGACAACTTGGCATCCCTTTGAACTCTCCATTGTTGCGGTATTTTACCGAAATGTTTTATGACTTGTGTGAACATCGTGAGGTTTATTCTCTTGATCACAAACACCTGCTGTTCGCGCAGGACAACGATCAACCTCAAACTTGATTTGATCCTATTATTACCGTTCCAGTTCTCGCTAGCATCGCGTCGTTTGCGGATGCCTTTGTCCGTTTTATGCTCTTGTAATCCACATACGTGATTTATCATCTCGGCCTTTTGGATTGTAATTTCGTGATTTCTGCTTAAAGCTAGCAGCAGGGTAGCTTACAGTGTATATGTATATATATATATCACAGTTAGATGTGTAATAAAAGAAACAGACTACGGTGGTTTAGACTTGCTCATGCCACAGTGCCCGATGTTTGCCGAGGCAAACAGTGGATGGAACAAGGTCAGGTGCGGTCCAACTAAGACCTGGCATGAGGGTATGAAAACCCTGGCCAGGACACTGGTCCCTATAGGCATCCCAGATGGGGACCCCGAGATCATGGTAACCGGTAGTTAGAGACGCTGAGTAATATGGCTCGGTGNGGCTCGGTGTCGCAGACAGCGGCGCTCGTGCATTTACTCAATATTCTTTCAATCGCTTTTTAAATATTGTTACACACATTAGTGATAAACCGCAGACGGGATGGATCTCATAGTCACGAAGAGCTGCTGTTCAGTGATGAAAACCAGCAACCCAAATCCCGGGACTTCGACTGGCGAACCAGCCAAGGGTCCACTGGGATAGGCGTAGCATTGAACCGGATGGCAGCGAAGCTGTCTACCACCAAAGTTGGGTGGCGGCGGCGGGGCTCGAACTTCGTACCGTAGAGGTCCAAAGCATGCCGGTGACAGCGATTAAGCCACTACGCGTCTATATGAATTCTCCATATTCTCTTTACTCTGTTCTCAACATTCCATTTTTTTCTACTCTAATATCCAAATGAGCAGCCAAAAGACAGCAATCAAGACCAGGGCATAAAAATGGTTATAAAAATAAGATGAAACGAAATTCAGTTTCGGTTTGTAAAAATTAACCATTCCACCCCTGGTTTCGTTTATGGTTACTATCTTTTGATAAAACTAGATTACACAAAGAGCCCAGATTTCTCTATTTTGCATCGACATGTAAAACTGCGATCATCTGTCCGGTGGTTCTACTTGTAAGACTGGGTTCGATTCACAGTTGATTCGAGGGTTTACCCTCAGGGTCAAAACAGTTCTAAAAGGTTCTTCAGTTCCTTTTTCCCTGGGTCTACGTTCAAGAAATTTCATCATAAAAACTAAGAAAGTGTTACCACCAACTTCAGACAGTTGTCAACGGGCAGCAACGTGGCGCTGAAATTTAACTGGCACACTAACTCAGATTGATCACATAGCAGTAAGCTACCATTGGCGTGGCTCAGCATAAAACTGCAGGTTCTATTGGACCACATGCTTTTAATCTGATCACGCATTGGTTTTGATACAGTTCTTTCTTCCACTCCCTGGTTTCAGAAAACCCCACCAAACTCGGTTGTCAGGTCATTGCTAGGGC